TATATATATATATATATATATATATATATCTCTCTCTCTCTCTCTCTCTCTCTCTCTCTCTCTCTCTCTCTCTCTCTCTCTCTCTCTCTCTCTCTCTCTCTCTCTCTCTCTTTCTCTCTTTGCCTAGATATCAATACCTCTCAGTCATTATCTCCAGCTCGAGCAGAGCACGGCTTGATGGTAATTGGACGCTAGTTTACCGTCTCTGGCTTAGCGAAAGTGCGCCTGCTGAGACATATGGGAATACCTCGGGGATTTTCCTTCGCCAGTCGCTCTCGCACGACTACGTGGGTCACATTTCATTTTGTATATGCACCATTTCCCGAGCTCTTCCAGTGAAGCGTGCGCTTCGTTCCGCTAGCGAAGCGAAGAAGCGAAGCGAAGAAGCGAAGCGTTGGCTCCGCTTACGGCGCCCAATTTCCTTTCAGCCGTAAGCTTCTCTCGGTAAGACTAAAGACGCGTAGCCGATTACATGTGTGGTGGCTTTCATACGACCTCGGCAACAGCGGGGGCTTCAGGATGCCTTGACGAGGTTCTCATTTTCCAGACGACTGCTCAAGCTGAACACAATGTTATCGCAGACATATGATCTATAGATGTTACGAGCATTCGCGCAGATACGTTATGCTTAACTACCAACGCTTTAATGGAACGCGCATAAATACACTACATGATTGTCCAAACGTGCGCTAATTCTCCCTTTCCTCGAATGTATCCTTTTTGTTGAACTACCCTTCGCGGGGGCCCAAAGCTGCTTTTTAACTATCTTACACCACCTTTAACCTATCTTTTACACCGCCCGAGTGTTGCGAACTTTTCGCAATCTTGCTGTAAAACTGTGTGTTGCCATGTCGCGCGAAAACATGATGAAAAACACTCTATGTAGTCAACGCAGTTAGAATATGTGCCATATCTTTGTAGGCCAAGCTGACACTCGTATTTTCTCATCGGAATTGTAGTCTACTAGCGTTGCATAAACACATACCTAAATGTGCTATTACCGTTATCCCGTTTATTGGCTTTTCACGCGATACCCAGCTCTTGCCTGTGCTTATCAGTGCCGTTAGCAGCATGTCTGTCCTTTCCTGATTGGCAACGTTACGTAAAGGTCAATGCGTCACATATAAAAATGTTTGATACCTCCGGCGGGTATCCCCTGCAGGGAGTGCCGCGACATTCCCAGTACATTAACGGCACGCAAACAGTGTCTTGGGCACGGGTGCTGATGCTCGTTTTAAACGGCTTTTTCGGCTCAGTCTTCAACGGGAGCTTTCCAAGTGTAGGAATACGAGCCCCTTCGTTTGCCGAGCCGCTTGCAAGAGCAATTTACTACCTGCGTTAGACGGGACTGTTCCTGCATATGCGCACGCATGTGCTGCTTCTGTGTTTGCGTCTAACCCCGTGCCTATTAAAGGGCTGTCGGTCCTTTAAGCGTTCTTGGAAAAGGAAGGAGCATCATGGAAACATTCTTGAATTCAGCTACGTTAGCAGTCCACCAGCTCAGCATCTTATTATGTAGTTGATGATAAAGATCAACTGAGAGCGTTGCAAAAAGATCAGGAGTCGGGCTGAAATTCATGCTAAGTAATATATATATATATATATATATATATATATATATATATATATATATATATATATATATATATATATATGTATATATATATATATATATATATATATATATGTGTGTGTGTGTGTGTGTGTGTGTGTGTGTGTGTGTGTGTGTGCATGTGTGTTATACCCAGTAGAGGCTACATGTTCATTTTCATTTTTTCCATAGCAGGTATAGTTTTTGATGACATTCTCCATGACCCCGATCTTCCAATCGCTAATTACCGCCCAACAATTCATCGGGTCACGCAGGTATGTCGCACCTTTTGAATTATTTCCATTGCTAATGACTTCCAGATACCGGCGCCCCTCTTCAGCGGTCAAGTGCAGTCACAAGAGAGGGCCAACAGGTTTGGGAGGTCGGCCGTGTTACGTGAGCGACTCCGACTCTGTTCATAGGCGTGCGTCCTTCTCAGAGCTCGTCGCTGATGGCTGGATCCCACACGGGCCTGGGGGGGGGGGGGGGGGGGGCGGCTAAGGACGCGGCACGCATATGGCAGCCTGACGCGCGCGGTGTGCGCCATGAAATGCCACGATGAGGGCCGGCATTTGTGTCAGGTGCTAGCCTTTTCACAGGCGACGGAAAGGGACGGGCTTCACTTCAACACGCGAACAGGGCAGCGGAGCAGCAGATCCGGGCTTTGTAGACTTCCCTTGTTGGGAGACGCGGGGACAGGGAAGGTATGGAGCCGCGGGAAAGATAATCGTGCGAACAGCCGCTCGATGGGTGAGAAAGAATTTCGCCAGCCTCGATTGATCGATACCGTGGAAAATTGCGCCCGCACGACACAGGTCACTTTCGCGTCGGGTTATTTCGCAAATGGAAAACATCACGTGCTGATCTGTTCGAGCACCTTCCGTGCTTCGGCGCTGCGTACTTATAGCCGGCACGCCATGCTATACAGCGCGAATGATTGTAACAGCACAGGCGCGTGCGGAGGGCCGAGGCCGTAGCTAGACGGGCGTCGCTGCTGCTTCCAGGTAATCGGTCGTTTTTGTGAAATATAAACATGGAAATTTTGACGTAAGATGCGTTTTGCCAATTTTGCACGATGGAGAACGGCTGAATGAGTGCAGATAACGAGACGCAGCTCAGCGCCGCACCATCGCACGGAAAACATCGTGAAAGAGCGAAAAATCACTTGAGCTTAAGTCTTTCACCACATATGGTTTGTTCTAATGTTGATTTCCTAGTCTGATTAACTGCTTCCCAGAAAACAGAGGACTACGTCCCATACACAAGGTGAAACACAACACGCGACAAGCCTCACAATAAAAGATGTCATCAGAGTGTAAATCATTAGTTTAGATATTACACGGGTTTTAGAACGATCAACACTGCACACGTTCGCTAATGTGTGGAGCTTTAGCAGTTTACCTATTTACACAATGCTCCTCGAATCTAATCCCATCCTGCGAAAACCTGCTTTCCTAACCCTGTAGCGGTGCATGCCCTTCCTGTTCAGAGCTCTCCCCGGAACAGGTGGGTGCTAAGCCGCAGCACACCTGACCACGTGGCCCGGTGCTGCCCAACACGTGTGCAGCGCATGCCGGTCAAGGTAATCTCCCCCCCCCCCCCATCCTTCTCTCCGCCCGGCTACAGTGGTCGCCGCCCCGACGCGGTTCTGCAGCCGGCCGTCCTTCAGGCCCCTCCCATGAATCTGTGACCGAGCTGTAGTCCGGTTCGCTCACCGGTCCCATTACCCGCTCAAGGTTGGTCAGAGACCTCCCAGAGCCGCCGGCCCGCTACTCGCTCGTCACTTCCCGCTTCATTCGCCCGTAATGAGTCATCTGCATGGGCGCAATCAGGGGACAAGGGAGAGGGTGAGGAGGACGGAGGGGGGGGGGGGGCTCCTTTAGACCGACATTTTCCAAATAGATGGTAGATCATAGATCACAGAAGGCTCATGGTGGAAAGTTAAACAGCGTGCTGCACGCTCACTGAACTCCCTCCACCCCTCAGAAGTTCCTGGCTGCGTCCCCGGCCTCTTGCCTGCGGCAACCTCCATCCCAAGTCAGCGAAAAGCCCCTGCCTGATGCCTCAGGTCTCATTGGGTTCAATAGCCGTCCAAAAATGGGCAAGATGGCCCAGCTAGTGACGTGGCCAATGGCGGAGGTTTTTGGGTAAGGGAACCTGGAAGTGGTGGAAACCGCTGGGGCCGAAAACCCCAGTTAGTACTTTTCGACAGTCTAATGCACCTGAAGATCTTCCAAACATATAATAAGCCTCGATTTATCTAAATAGAATCGCAATCCCAGCCTAAAAAGCTCCCCAGAAAAAAAT